TGAGAGGCTGAGTAATGGTCTCCAAAGATATCAGATCCTAATGCCTGGAACCCATGAATGCTACCTTACAAAGGGAAAATGGTCTTTTCAGATATGATTAAATGAAGGATCCTGAGGTGAGGGGTTTATCCTGGATGACCCAAGTGGGCGCTAAATACAATCACAATACCCTTATATGAAGGGCAGAGCTTGGAGCCACGCAGCCACAAGCCAAGGAATGCAGGTGGCAACCCAGAGCAGACAGGTAGGGAACAGATTCTCCCCTGTCCCACTCCAGAAGCCTCCCTAGGGAGCATGGCCCTGTAGACATTGTGCTTTTGGCCCATGGAAATTGGTGTTGGACTGCTGGCCTCCACAACTGGGAGGGAACAATGTGTGTGGTTTTAAGCTACCCTGTTTTTGGTAATTTGTTACAGCAGCCACAGGAAGCCCGGGCAGATGGGGATGGTGATAAAGGGAGAGATAGCAGCACTGCAGAAACCATGAGAGCTCTCCCTCCTGGCTGGGTGCTGGGATGGGTGCTGTTCCAATGTCAGGAAACTCCCTTCATGCTCTAGCAACTCCAGGAGCAGGAATTATTATTTCCCTCAGTTTTTTGGATGTTGAAACGAAGATACAAAAGTATTAAGTAACTTGCCCTACCAAGCATTTTCTTTTTTAATTTGAACAGGGAAAATTTAATATAAGGAATTATTAACTTTAACAGGTAATATTCTATAAAGGGGTAAGGGAGTACCATAGGATTCAGGCCCAAGGAAGGAATGAACTTGGAAAGGAACCTCCCCACCAAGGCTGGGGTGCAGCCCACACTGTAAGATATGTGGTTGTGGATCCCTGCACGGTGGGGAAGTTGGCTGGCTTGCCCAGACCAGAGCTGGTCCACAGATGCTAAGTAAGCAGAGAACACCCTCCCAAGCACTGGCAGGGTGAGGCTGGAAAGACAGCTCCTAGGACATATCGGGAAGACATCAGTTGGGAAAACACTGAAAGTTGATGAGATGCCATCCACACGGGAACCACTGAAGCCTGGTGGAAGTGAGCTCATGTGTCACCGGTGACCACTAAATAAGAGCAAGAGGAATCCCGGGGAAAAGTCAGAACAAGGGAGAACCCCTGTTCCTTCTGCAGTGTCCTTCAGGCTCTCTCTACTGACAAAGCTTAGCAGCCCACTCACTGCAAAGGGAGACTATTTAAAGGTTCCAGCCCTATTCTTGACAAGCAGGTAGCAAAGGGTGGCTTTGGAGCATAGAGGCAATAGCGAAGTAGTTTGATTATCTGTTCATCGTGCCAGGTCTGGGAGGGATGGGATATTCTTTTTATGTGATTATCAGATATCGTGTGTGTGTGTGTGTGTGTGTGTGAAGTGCCTGTTCAAGTCTTTTTGCCAAGTTTAAAAAATTAGTTGTCTCTTGTTGATTTGTAGTAGTTCTTTATATATTCTGGCTACTAGTTCATCGTCAGATACACATATGACAGATATCTTCAGCCATGTCTAAAGCTTTGGGAAATTAGTTCTCTGTGTCTCTATTTCCTCATCCATGAAATAAAGACAAAACACACCTTATAAGGATGTCATGAAGCTTCAAGGAGGTAATATCAAAAAAGTGCTCAGAGAGCGCCTGGGTGGCTCAGTGGGTTAAGCCTCTGCCTTCAGCTCAGGTCATGATCTCAGGGTCCTGGGATCGAGTCCTGCATTAGCTCTCTGCTAATGCTCTCTGCTCTCTGCTCTGCTTCCTCCTCTCTCTCTCTCTCTCTGCCTGCCTCTCTGCCTACTTGTGATCTCTCTCTGTCAAATAAATAAATAAAATCTTTTTTTAAAAAAAAGTGCTCAGAAAGATGCCGGCACATAGTACACACACACGTGTTGCCATCAGCCCTGGCATGGGCCAATCCAAGAAGAGGAATCCCATCCTCATCCTAAGTTTGGATGGTCCTGAGTTCAAGGGGAGCAATAAATGATCTTTGCCAGGGCCATAGCAGATTCTGTACAGTGGTGTATTGATGAAATGACCCTCCAAAATAAAGGTCTGATTTGTAATGTTTGCTAGTTGCCATGGTATAAATACTCACTTCACAGCCAGTTTCAAACTAACAACGGTTTAACATCCAGTTTGCAAAATTACTGGCAATCTAGCCGTCAGTACTCCGGAACCAGTGCAAGCCATCTGCAGTATCCCCCTGGGTCCTGTACCACCTGGTGGGGTTAACTTGGGTGGATCTCTTCCTCTCTGTGGATCTTCATCCCCTTGTCTGTCTAAATGGGACAAGTCCTCCAACTCATCCCTGCAGTACTGATTTAGTGAGTACCTTCTATGTGTCAGTCACTGGGTTTGGCTCTGGGGACGCAGACCTGAGCAAAAGCAGAGAAGACCCTCCCTAGCGAAGATATTCTGAAGGTAGTGGTCGTGGGTGGGTTGGGTAATGACTGAAAATAAACAGCAAGTGCATGAAATAAGGGAATCATAAGAGCTATGGACAAAATAAAGCAGGTATCCCAGCTCTTGTATTGGGAGGGGGTTTACTTTGGTTAGCATGATTGACAAAGTCTTCTTAAAGGTGACATCTGGTATGGGGCACCTGGATGGCTCAGTCAGTTAAGCATCTACTTTTAGGTCATGATCTCAGGATCCTGGAATTTAGCCCAGCATTGGGCTCCCTGTTCAGCTGGGAGTCTGCTTCTCCCTCTTCCTCTGCCCCTCTTGCCGCTTGTGCTCTCTCTCTCCCTGAAATAAAATCTTTAAAAAATAAAGGTGACACTTGATAAAGAGTTTGGTGCCAACGTGGTGGGAAGAGCATTCCAGCAGAGGGAACAGCCAGTGCAAGCACCTGTGGCTGCCACAAGTTGGGCTTGTTTGAGGAACAGAATGAAGGCCAGAGCAGCTGGAGCTGAGTGAATGTTTGAGGTGGGGGAGGGGCATCGGCTGGTTTATGTGTTCAGTGGTTGTGGATCTGAAGGTGGAGGGTGGACCGGGACACTGGCTGCTGTAGTCAGAGCAGTCCTACAGGGGGCAATGGTGGCAGCTCAGACCAGTGAGATTACCCAGGACAGGGAGGGGTGGACAGAGTAGAGACCCATTTTAAAAGCAGAGCAGGCTGCTCTTGCAGACGTACTGGGTTGGGGGGAGGCGGGGGAGGATGGATGTGTTTGTGAAGTACAACAGCCCCTGTGGGGAGGACTTCAGAAGCTCCTGCCTGGAAGCACCTGCCAGGACATGGTGGAAGCTGAGACTTATGTTGCTTCAGAGGCCAATGCAGGGGACAGGGACAGGGACACCTCACCTGGCAGGCCCGGAGGGAGGACCTTACTAAGTGACGTAGGAAAGACGTTAAGGCTTGAAGTGATGGCCAAGAAAGAATTCTTGAGACATCTTTGGTGCAAAAAAGTAGTTTTATTAAAGCACAGGGACAGGACCCATGGGCAGAAAGAGCTCCACTGGGGTCATGAGGACTGGCCCGTTACATACGTTCAATTTGGGAGCCAGTTAGGGATAGTGTAAGGCTCCCAGGTATTTTGGAAATGAGGTTTCCGGGATCCTGAAGGGGGTTAGCTATTGTTAGGAAAAGGTCATTTATTTATTACTGTTTAATAAAAACTAGGTCATGAGACCCTTCAGATGTATGCAGGTGGGTCATATGTTTGGAGGAGCTTGTCAACATGTCTCTTGAGGGGGTGGAGATAAAGGAAGCTTCCAAAGGAATTTTTATATGTCAAAGTAGACTTACAGGATCCTGGGGCCCGGGCTAAGATTGCCTTTTGCCCTTAGCAGAGTATCAACATCAAGGCAGCTGAGTTCCTAGAGGAATGTCACTCTGCCCCATTCAAGGACTTGTCAATGGGCTGCAGACAGTAAGGAAACTTAATACACTTTCTTCTGCCTCTGTTTCCCACATCACCTAGTAAGTGTGTGCCTGGTGGGACCAGGAGGAAAGAACTAACCACGGGTTTTTGGGATGCTGGGCAGAGCCAGCAATTTCCCAAGGATCTCTTCTGTTTCCAATAACCTTGGGAAATAGAAATGATTCCCTCTTGCAAGGCAGGCACAGAGGTTCTGGGAAGAGATGAGACTTGTCTAAGGTCACACAGCCAAGTAAGTGAAAGAATGGGGAGTCTAGATTTTCTGCACCTCACCATCTCCTCCCCACTCCCACGACCAGGTCCCCACTCCCACGACCAGGTCCCCACTCCTGCCCCATTCCCTCTGTTATCCTGAGGAGGAGGACTGGAGTAAAGAGAGAAAAGGGAATTTACCCCAAAAGTCAATGTTATTCCTGAAAGTAGAGAAACTGAACCGTGTCCCACAAGAAGAACTGTGCCCACAAGAAAAGGAACTGGGATCCTAGAATCCTGGGTCTGAGAGAAGAGGGGCTGGGGGCTGGACTCCCGGGTCTGAGGGAGGAGGAGCTGGGACTGGACTCCTGAGTCTGAGGGAGGAGGGGCTGGGGGTCTGGACTCCTGGGTCTAAAGAAAGAGGGGCTGGGGGCCCGGACTCTTGGGTCTGAGGGAGGAGGGGCTGGGGTCCTGAACTCCTGGGTCTGTGGGAGGAAGGGCTTGGGGACCAGACTCCTGGGTCTGAGGGAGGATGATATCGGGACCTGAAGCAGAAAGGAGGTGGGCTCAAGAAGAATCCCCGACCCGGGGTTCTGGGGATTCGAGATGGGAAGACGTGGGGACGCCCGGGGCGGGAGGGGGTAGGGGCCGGGCCGCAGTAACAAAGGCCTCTCCCTCCAACAAGCAACCCCCCCTCGGCCCCGCCTCCCCGGCCCCCCGCCTCCCCTGATTGGTCGGCCTTCCTGCCCGTCAGCACCGCCCCCCTCCCCGGGTCTGCAGCAGCTCCGGCCGCCTCGTCGCGCCCCCCCAGCCCCCTCCCCCCGCCCCCGCCGCCCCCCGGGCCGGTGCAGCCGCAGGCGGGGTCCCCCTCCCCCTCCCCCTCTCCCCCCGGCCTTGCGCGCCCCGGACCGGCCCCCCCTTTCCCCTCCCCCTTCGCGCCGCCGCTGCCGCGATGCCCCCCCCTGCGCCCGGGGCCCGGCTCCGGCTTCTCGCCGCCGCCGCCCTGGCCGGCCTGGCCGTCATCAGCCGAGGTACCGCAGCGTCGGGGGCGGGGGGGCTCGGCCTGGACGCCGGGGTCCCGAGCGGGGATTGGGGGTGGGGGGCTGCATCCCAGGCGGGGAAGAGGAGGCCCCCCGAACGCTGAGGTCTGGGCCCGGGGGCGGGGGCTGCACCCCCTGGCTGGGAAGGGGACTCCCAGATTCGTGCCCCGGGGGCAGGGTTCCGCGTCCCGGGGCTGAAGCCTGGGCCTAGGGGCGGAGGTCGGCTTCTCCCGGCCGGCGAGAGGGTCGCGGACACCTGATCCCGGCCTGGGGGCGGGAGTCTGCGGCTCCTGATCAGGGAGAGGGATCAAACGCTAAAGTAAGGGTGCTTGGGCAGGCTCTCTGAACTGAGTTGGGGTGTGGAGGGGAAGGGGATGCCCCGTCGGGGGTCTTCATCTCTGAGTGAAGACAGTCCCTGAGGGGGTCCTGGCCTGAGGGCTGGGGTGGGCATTTCTGGGCAAAGGTGGGGGGATGGTGTCTTCCCAGGGTCTGTAAAAGAAGGTGGCAGGGGTATCCACAGACCTTCCCAGGGCCAGGAAAAGAAGAGGGGCTCTGGCCTCCCAGCCGGGTCATCGAGGTGGGGAGAAAGTGCCGGCGTTTGGGAGGTTGCAGTTATGTAGGGGATGGAGCTGGTGATCCAGGAAGTTGGGGCGCTGGGCTGGGGACTCAGACGCAGGAAGCTCTGGCTGAGTAGCAGGGTTCAGAGGGGGGCCTGAGGATGAGAGAGGGGCAGATTGGGAAGGGAGGGAAGGGAAGGGTTGACCTGGGGTCAGTGGGTTAATCTCAGCCCTGCTGAAAGTGGGGAGGAGTGGGGCTGGGGGCTGGTGTGTGGAGTGGGGAGGGGCGAGCTGGGCGGTCTCTGGAGAGGATGTGGGTGGCTGCTGGGACCCTGTGGCTCCCCAGGGGGCTGGCAGCCAGGGATGGTCCAGGATGTGCCCCTGCGGAGAGGAGGCCGGAGCAAGAAGGCGGGAGGCAGGGATCAGGGTTAACTCAGAGCTTCTGGAGGATTCCCCCAGGCCCTGCCTTGAACCAAGGATCACAGTCAGGGACACGCAGTCAGGGACAACCTAGAGACCTCAACAGTCTCAAGGAGGCAGCCACTCTCAGTCTCCCACCCACACACACCAGGTCTCGCACAGAGCTGCGCCTGCAGACACCCACAGTCACACAAACCGGGCCCCGCACGCAGGACCCCCCAGCCCCAGGGCCTCAGCTGACTGGAGCCTCAGTGGGTTGGAGCAGGTTCGAATGTTCCTCCAGCCTGACCTGTCTGAATCACCGTCTGACGCTCTGTCTGCGTCTCTCTGCCTCTGTCACTCGTCTTTTTAGGTCATTTCCAGAGGCTCCCTAACTCTGGGGGACATCCTTCTTGTCTCTGTCTCTGGGTGTCTGTTTCTCCATCCTTGCTGTCCTCAGTACAATTTCACATCTGCCCTCCCTGCCTTGGGCCCTGCTTCTCATCGTCACACACACGCACCTGTCTCTTCCCGGCCCCCTCGTTCCTCGATCCTTTCACTCCTGGAAAAATCACGTCCCATCTCAGTCACTGACACCTCCCATTTTTTGTCCTTGTCCTTTCCTTGTCCCTTGTCTTCTCCTTTCTGTGCTCCTCATAACCTCATGACCCCCATCCTTCTTCCCCTCTCCCTTCACCACCCCTTCTTTTCCTTCAGTCTCAAGATAACTTCCCACTTTCTACTTTGAATCTTCCAGATCCCAGAAATTGCTGTTGTACACACATCCTGGGCTGGGAGCTTCTTGGAGCCAGGAGGCAGTCTGTGACCTAGGACCAAGTCCTCTCCCACTGCCAGGCCTTGGGTTCCCCATCAGAGACTGGGGGGCAAGAGGCGTTGGGGGGTGGTCTGAGACAGATCTAAGTGGCAGCAAGCAGCCCCACCCACTAACAGCTGGGGCGCTCTGAGAAAAAGCTGGGTGTGGGGGGAGGCATACACAAAATTGCATTTCCTCTCCTCACCAATTCATTTGCTCTTTTTCACATTCCAGAAGGAATGCATGCAAGTGAGCACACACATACATCCTCTACAAGTATGTACTAGAGCAAACCCCACCTTGTCCTGGCCCCGCCCCTCCGACACGCACTCCCTGCACTCTTGAGAAAGCCCAGGTCACGGCTTCCCTCACTCGAAGTCAGACACGCAGAGTTGAACACATGTTAGGTGTTGGTTTGTTGGCTGATGTTTTCCCTGAGACAGAAACAAAATAAGCCCATTTCTCCGCAACTGGCTTTTTTTTTTTCCCCACTTAACTTAAGCTCCCCGGCATCCAGAGATATGGTTCTATCTTTAGTTTCTTTTCTAAATTCTTTATGCCAACACTCACACTCACACATACATATATTCACTTCCAGCCGGTGAGGGGTGCTGGACGGAGTAGGGCAGGCAGAACGGGGCGTGCTGGCCACTGTCCATGGTCCTCTGGGCACCCGGTCTATCCGGACTGGATATTTGAGCACAGAGTCTCTGTTCTGGGCTCTGGGGATGTGTATATACGTGACAGTGAGCAAGCCAGATGAAGTCAAGGAGCCCTCAATCTTAGTGGGATGGAGAGAGATCAAAACCTAAAAACAAGCAAATAAGTAAACAGGTAATCTCAGAGAGTGACGAAGGGTAGTGTAAAGAAATTAAGAGTGATTTCAGGGATGACCATGGGAGCTCTGGTGGTTGAGAGAGCTCTGTCTGAGCTGCAGGGAGCAGAGTTCAGAGAGAAGTCGGCCTTTAAAAGATCCCAAGGGAACAGTGGAGGCAAAGGTCCTGCGGTGGGAACCAGCAGAAAGGAGCAGCCAACATATAATGGAAAGTTCCAGGGTTCTTGGCTCAGGGAGTCCAGACATCTGTCCTGGGAAGGCCCCTACACTTGGAGGTCAGCAGAGAGGAAGGGAGATCTGGGGGTTCCAGCCCCTTCTCACCAGCTCTTCCCTGCCAGAGCCACACCCCCTCCCAATGCATCCCCCACCCCTCCCTGGGTCCAGCCTCACTTCTGCTACAGCTCCCTGAGTGACCGCCACAAGTCACCCAACCTTGTGGACCTTGGCTTCCCATCAGTGGGTTCCAGAACTGTGGAATGCAAGCTTCCCCCCACTGGAGAGTCCCAGCTTCACCAAAGTTCCCCCTTTGAGGGGTAGCAGGAGGTGCTTATCTCCAACCAGAGGCCCTCCATCTGTTAGAAATCTCTTTCTCACTTAAGGGGAGGAAACTCACCTACATGTGACCTTCATCGCTTGACTTATCAAGGGGTATGAAGGCTACTAGTGCAGACTGGCAGAGACCCGAGTGGTCCTTCCAGTCACCACTGGCCCCCCCAGACCAGCTGGAGCACCTGCCGCACCATCATCCCATCAGCCAGCACACGTGGGGGCTGTGGGCAGGCACTCAGCTAGCAGGCTCTGCATTGAACCTGTTGCTTGGGTGACCTCTTGTCATCCTCCCCACCACCCGCAGCGCCATGCAGGAGGCACAATGATCATCCCCACTTACACAGGGGGAAACTTGAGTCCCAGGGAGGTGAAGGAATTTGTGCAAGTAACTGGCGGTGCGGGGGCTCGAACCCCGGCAGCCCGGGTACCCAGTCTGTTCTTTCAGTGGCCCGGTTATGTGGGCGTGGTGGTGTCAGAGCAGATACTGACAGGGTAACCAGACATGAGTCGCCGACTCAACTCTGGTGGGTGCAGGGCACAGAGCAACGGGTCCTCCCCCCCCACCCCCGGGGGACTGACACCGAACCATGAATAGCAATAGATGTTTCTTAAAAAAGAAGGTGCTGTTAAGAACAGTTAGCATTTATTGGACCATTCCTGCATGCTAAGCGCTGAGCTAAACATTTTGCTTGCATGTTCTCATGGAATGCCCCACAAAACCCTCAGAGGGAATGACTGTTGGTTTTTTTTTCCTTTTTATAGATGGGGAAACTGAGGCTCAGACTGTCTAGGGCTCACCCAGACAGGAAATGGTGGGGCAGACATTCGTTCTCTTAGCACAGATTCCTCCCGGCTTTCTTATCCAGTCTCTCAGGACCATTCATTCTTCCTGCAAACACTTCCCTGTTCTGAGCTAAACCCAGCTCTGGGGTCACAGCCAAGATTCGGGCTGGGGAGGTACCCCTGAACACTGTCCCAGCTGAGTCAGAGGGTATCCAGTAGAAAGGGTTGAGACTCTCTGTCTTGAGCAGTCAGGGAGGCCCTCCTGGAGGAGGGGGCATTTGAGTTTGGGTCTTGAAGGATGAATAGCAGTTCAAGAGTTGGAGACACATGCTGTACGTATCTCTTTACATTTACTCTTTCAACAGGTATTTCCCAAGGCCTTCCAGGGTCAGGCCATATGCTCGGAGATGCTGAGGATACAGACCTGAGTTAGACCCAGGCTCTGCCCTCAAGAAACTTCTAGTCTGAAGGGGGAAACAGACAACAGATGGCCACCATGGTGTGATGTGAGCTTTAATGGAGGTAGTCCAGGCACTGTGGGAATACAGACCAGGCTTAGAGGGGGTAAGGAGGGCTTCCCAGAATTAAGGGAGAGTTTTCCAAGCAGAATTCCTAAAGAGTGGATCTCATGTGCACCGGCTTATTTATTTTTACACTAAACATCTTCCGAGGCCTCCTGTGGGCCAGGCCCAGAGCCAGCAATGCCGGAACCCTGGAGGTGGATCAGACCCAGGCCTCTCCCTGAGGGGCTCCCATCTGGTGAGGGATGCAGGCTCAGATAGGATCCGGGGTGAACAGGACCGACACAGAGGGAAGAGCAGTGCTCAGGGACTGAGTGGGTGTGGAATGACTAACCCAACCCCTACCTCCACTTACCAAAGCCCAGGAAAGAGAAGGGACTTGCTCAAGGTCACACAGCAGGGAGGAGGGTCCTGATCCTGGAATCTGGGAATTGTGTGAGATAGGCATGCAGACTCATGACACAGGGACCAAGAATCCAAGACCTGCCTGAGACATGGATTCCTTCATCTCTTATCTCCTGGGACTGTCCTCAGCTGAGCCTGGAGCTGGGCATGCTGGGGACACAGATGGTCTGAGCCAGGCTCTGCCCTGCAGGAGCAGGTGGGGGAAGCAGATGACTCGGATCCAGGGTCCCCTGGGAGCAGGGCAGGAGCTCATATGCGCTGTCTCTCCTAGGAGAGGCCTCGTTATAATAGACCCTTGGAGAAGGAGAAGCATTTTTGTCATAAGTGGTGGGACAGAGGGACCAGGAGAAAAGTGGGGAATGTGAAGCTGGGTCACACACACGCGCTAGGGGAGACAAAGCAGGAGAGTGACTCCAGGGTCTCGGACCCAGGTTGAGGGGGGCTGAGTTTTGTCCTGGGGGCAGTAGGGAGCCACGGGAGCAGCGGAGGCAGCTCTGAATGTTAGGAAGATCCCTCTGGAAGGAGTGTGTGTCTGTATTTCTGTCTGCCAGGACACAGGATTGAGGTCCGCCTGTGTCTGCGGGCCTTGCTCGCGCCAGCGGCAGCTGGTGTAGCCCAGGGCTTAACTCGGGAGCCCTGGGCCCCTGAAGCCTGGGGGACCTTGGACAGCTCCGTCTTCACCGCTAGGCCTCCTGTAACCTTGGACAGTGGCTGTCACCGGAGGAGGAGGGGGGATTTTGCCCCCTACGGGGCATCATCGGGCAATGTCCAGAAGCAGTTGTGATCATCACCACTGTGAAGGGGGGGAGCTACTGGCATCCAATGGGTAGATCCCAGGGATAGCGGTATGGAGTCCCCACAGTCCCTGGTGGGGACAAGACAGTCCCCACAGGGGAGAAGCATCCGGCCTCAAACGTCAGTGGGGCCCAAGTGGAGAAGCCCGGGTCTGGGAGTGTGTGAGCAGGAGTATGACAGGTCCTGTGGCATATGTGTGTGCGGAGGTGTGTGTGTGTGATCTGATCGTCGGTGACAGCGTGACTGCCTGCACCCGATTCTTGGCCCAGGGTGGCTCCTTTGTATTTGAGAGGCTGTGACAGGGTAACCGTTTCCTCGCACACTGTAGCTTTCTGCACGACTTTCCAGAGTGCAGGGGCGGGGGGTGGTGAGCATGGCCCTTCGGCTGGTAGTGTCAGCGTGAGTGATGAGGCTAGTGTGTATGTGTGTGTGTGTGAGAGAGAGAGAGAGGGAGCGAGAGAGCCAGCAATGGCCCCCCAGATGGGGCTGTAACCGGTTGCATTAGACAACCCCACCTGCGTGTGGGGCTGTTGGTGTCAGTGCGAGAGTGTGGGTCTGTCTGTGTACAGTGGGGTGACCTTCTGCTGGGCATGGGTCCCGGGCTGTGTGTCAGCAGGAGTGTGTGTACCCTGGGCCCTCGAGCAGGCCCCATTGCCCTCTGGATGTTGGAGTGTCAGACTGTTTCCTGGCCCAGTCTGGGCTCTGGGTGTCTTCCCTGGGCCCCGGTGATGTGTCTGTCTCCGTGCATGTCTGTCTACCGGCCGTCTCCTGCTGTGACCAGGGCTGTGTGTGGCCTTGTCCACTCTGCACAGCTCGGGTGCAGGCAGGCCCCTTCCCTGCATCCAGAAGTGACTCTGGTCACGGTGAGGGGCTGCAGGGCCCACCCCAAACCCCAGGACCTGGGGAGCCCTCCACACTGGCTCTGCCCCAGCCCAGTCCTGAGGGGCTGCTGATGGAGAGGGCCCATGGGAGTCATTGGGGCGGCACGGGCAATTAATTCATTAGATTAATTAGCTCCTCATGCGAGGGCGGGGGCAGGGCAGCCCCATGCCGAGCCCTCCTTCCCCAGGCATCCAAGGTCATCCAGCCTCCTCTCCCCCGCCCGGTGTGGCTCCATCCGCCTCCGCCTCTGTGTGCCCAGCCCCCACTCCCTGGCCCTGGTCCAGCCCACTGGCCACGGTCCACAGACATGAATAGGTGGGGGTGTGGGCTCTGCCGGGCGATGGTGCCCATGAGCTGTGCTGGAGGGTGCGGGCTGGCGTGGGTGTGTGCCCACAGGTGTGCCCCGTAAGCACGGGCAGGCGGGTGTGTCTGAGTCGCGTCCTTGTGGCTGTGCACAGGGCCCAAGGGCGAATCTGTGCATCCGCGATAGCTGCGTGTCTGAGTGGAGACACGCACGCGCCTGTGCTTGGGAGCACGTGTTCGCATTTCTGTGTCCGTAGGTCTGCATACACGTGTGGGTGACTGTGTATTTCCCTGTGTTTCTGAATTGCTATGCGTACATGGATCTGTGTGTGTGTGCACCATGAGCCTGAATGTGTAGGTGCCTGTGTACGTGTACATCTGTGTGTCTGTATGTGCACCTGTGTGAGTCTATATATGGCTCCGTGTGTCCTTGAACTTTGAGCGTGTGTGTGTGTGTGTACACTGTGAATATGTGAGCATCTGTGTGGACAGGTGTGTGCATGTCTGCATACACATTTATGCGATTGTGTATCTGCGTATGTACATGGGTGTGCCTCTGGGCATGGCCTCTGTGAATATGTGTACGTGTGTGTGTGCACGTGCGTGTCTGTGTGCCGTGATTAGGATGTGGTCTCAGTGTCTTTGGAGGCATGTAGGCCTGTGTGTCCCAGTCTGTCTGAGTCAGCGCGAGCTTGCGGAAAGGGACAGGCTGCGTGTGTTTGCTCCGAGTGCGTCTGCAGCGCGTCTCTGGAAACATCGATGACTGTGTTTGCCATGGGGTGTGGGAAATGTCTGTGGGTGCAGACGTGTCTAGTCCCCGTTGAGCTATCCCTCCTGTCCACAGGGCTGCTGTCCCAGAGCCTGGAGTTCAGCTCTCCCGCGGACAACTACACAGTGTGCGAAGGTGACAACGCCACCCTCAGGTACCTCTGATCTCAGGGACTCTGAAATCACCCAGTCCTGCTCTGTCGCCTTCCTCAGAAGACAATCCTGACTTGCACGGACAGCCTGGTCCCTGTCAGTCAGGAGAGGTGGTTAGGGGCATGGACACTGGGCCTGGTGGTTCTGTGCCTGGGCCTCAGTGTCCCCATCCGTGAAATGGGTGGAGGGATGATAACCACTATGAGGGCTGCCATGGGGATTCAAGATTTTGTACACACATTCCAAGTTCGGAGAGCACGGCACACTGTGACCACTTAACAAATGGGAGCCAGGCTTATTCCCCCGGCTCAGTGCTGCTCCCTACACTGGGTCTGCCCTCGCTCTGGGTCTCTGTCCCCCTCTCCCTGGGTCTCTCTCCCTCATCTCTGCATCTCTGCCTATCTCTCCCAGAGTGCTCCAGATACTTTTCTAGTCTCTAGCACACAATATTCACTCAGTAACCATCAGCTACCTTCCGTTGCACACTTGGGTTCAAACTCGAGACTCACTTTACCCACCTGTAAAGTGGGCCCAGTCACTTCTCCCACACAGGGCTTCAGTGGGAACTGGTGATGCAGTGAGCCTTCCTCTCCCCACCTCTGAGCCTCTACGATGGCGGAACCTGGAGGGCCTTCTGGGGTGGGGGAGAGAAGAACCCTCCACCCTTGTCCTCCCTGAAGCTGCTTCATTGACGAGCATGTGACCCGTGTGGCCTGGCTGAACCGCTCCAACATCCTGTACGCGGGCAATGACCGCTGGACCAGTGACCCACGGGTGCGGCTGCTCATTAACACGCCCGAGGAGTTCTCCATCCTCATCACCCAGGTGGGGCTCGGCGACGAGGGCCTCTACACCTGCTCCTTCCAGACCCGCCACCAGCCGTACACCACTCAGGTCTACCTCATCGTCCACGGTGAGCCCTCGGCTGGGCCTTGGGTGGCAGAGGGGACGGAGGGCACAGGGGAGAGGGAATCTTCACATCCTTGCCAATTGTCTGATCCCCGATCCTGGGGATACATGGTGTGGGAGGCAGACACACACCCTGCCCTCGCAGATTTCAGCCAAGCGGAAGGAGGGACAGCCACCCAGAAAGTGACCTCTCAGCATGACAGCTTCTAGGGCAGGAGAGCTGCAGGGGTGAGGGGATGCTCAGGGAAGACCGGCTCCCCTCAACTCTGTTTACTGAGCACCTACTATGTGCTGGCATTGCTCTAGGCGTGGGGGTTGGAGAAGGAGCCAAGCGGGTTCTCCCTGCCCTTTTGAAGCTGACTTTCTAAGGAGGCGGCTTCCCAGACATAACATCTGAGCTGAGACCTTCAGCTGGGGGCAGTGCTGAAGGAGTCGGGGGAAAAAATGAGTCGGGTGTGCAGAGCAGGTCCCGTGTGGCTAGATGCCCCAGAATTCAGAGGAAAGGTGGGCAGGAGACAGAGAGATCAACAGGGGAGCTCAGGAGGGCAGGGAGCAGTTGGGGAGACAGGGACCCAGAGACAGAGACAGCCCAGGGGGCCCATGACAAGCCCCGACTCAGAAGCCAGACCACCCAGCTGCTGAGGAACCCTGAGCAAGCCGGGCGGCCTCGGACTCCTCATCTGTAAAATGGGATGGCTCTGTCATGCATCAGATCCAAGACATGGTCAGCTGGAAGGGGCATCTTTATTTTATGCTCTGCCAAAAAAGGAAAGAGAAATAACTCCGCCAATTAAACTCCGGCATCCTATGTTGGCAGGCCCTCCTGATTGGAATAAGGTTCCAGTGGGTGGGAGAAACAGCCATATGTGTTAGAATTGATGACTATAACGGCATCTACCCCAGGGGGTAGCAGGGTGGTGAAGGTTTAATGAACTAATTTGTGTAAAACACTGAGAACCGTGTTACCATGCCAGAAGCACCATATGAGTATTTGTTATAGAAATAAATTGTCTCAAATAAGAATAATAACAATTAATAAATAAAAGTAGACAGAGATAAGGTGGGAGGAGTTTCGACCAGAAGGCAGAGAAACCAAGTTGGGATGAAGAGGGAGAGAGAAAGAGAGACAGAGACTGCAAACGAACAGGAAAGAGAGACCAGCAGTTAGACAAGGAGCCAGACCCAGAGTCAAGGGAGCAACACAGAGGAATCCTCAGAAAGATGGAGAGAATGTTGGCTGAACCCCTGGGTCTAAGGGAGGAGGGTCTAGGGGCCAGGGCTCTTGGGTCCTTGGAGGCCATATTCGGCCTCTCGCTGACCTCTCCCCTTCTGGCCTGCAGTCCCTGCCCGCATCGTGAACATCTCCTCGCCTGTGACAGTGAACGAGGGGGGCAGTGTGAACCTGCTTTGCCTGGCCGTGGGACGGCCGGAGCCCACAGTCACCTGGAGGCAGCTCCGAGGTGAGGACCCCACCCTGGCCCAAAACCCCTGTCCCTACTCCGCAATCTGGGCCCCTCGATCCCCCTTATCCCTAGCTAGATTCCCAGACTCCCCCTTTCTTCCATCCCTCCTTCCCCCAAACCTTGTCAAGACCTGCTTTCCCCCTTCCCCACTGACCCTGTTATGTCGCCAGCAGCCCCCAGAGCCTCAGAGCCTTCAGCACCTGCAGGGCTAAACCACTGTCTCTAATTCACTTGCTGGACCCAAGCCTGCTCCCTGTCCCCACCCCAGTAGCCCTGGTGTCTTCCCCACCGGCTAACTTAATTCTGGGTCCTCAGTCCCTACCACTAACCCTAAGTCAGGTTATAACCAGTGGCCCCTGCCTCTGTTCCCATCTCCTGGTCATTTCACTACATCTCCTCTGCCAGATGCTCTAGCCCAGCCGTTCTCAGGCTGTGGTCCCCAGACCAGCAGCATCGGCATCACCGGGAGCTTGCCAGAAATACCCCTTCTGGACCCATTGCAGGCCGAATTAGAATCTCCCTCACCCACCGCCACCACCACCAGTCTGTTTTAACAAGCGCCTCAAGTGATTCTGGTGATGGAGCTGAGAACCACTACTCTAGGCTCCCCCCCAAAACATAGCCCCATGGTACCTGAACATGATATGCAGCACCTCATGTGCCTGGATCTCCACCCCCACCCCCCAGATCCCTAGAGCCTCAGTCACTGGGTCTTTAGAGAGCAATGGTGCCAATCACTCTATCCCCGAGACCCCAGAACCCAATAACTCAGTCTCAGATCCTGGATCCTTTCGCACCAGGTCATCTGAGCCCCACAGTCCTGGGCTTGAGATCCTGGATCCCTAGATGCCCTTTGTCCCAAAGGGTCTTCCGAGCCTGGTGATGTGTCATGAGCCCCGAGATGTCTGAATTACTGATCCCAATTACTTGATCCTGATTCCCTGAACCCAAGAATAAGCTCCCAGAACTCTGGACCACCCCCTCCTTGGTTCTGTATTATCTGGATCTTTTTGAGCTCCAAGATCCTGGGATCCCCCCCACTGGGTTCTGTGAGCCTCGTGATCTTAATGGTGAACTCCCAGATCCCTGGATCGGTTGCATCCCCAAATTCTAGGACTCTCCGCATTGGGTTCTAGTTACCAGGATCCTGACCCTCATTCCTTGCCCCACCCCTAGCAGGAGATCTCAGGCGGGGATCCACACCCCTGCCGCAAACCCCTGCAAACCCCTCCTGGCTCACACTGACCCGGGCACTCCAGGCCCTGCGGTGCCTGCCCCGCTGATGTGTGTCCGTGTTGTGCCCGTGTTGTCCCGTGTTAAGTGTTTGTGTCCGGCCCCGCCCCCTCCCATTCCCTCCCCGCACAGACGGCTTCACCTCGGAGGGCGAGATCCTGGAGATTTCTGACATCCAGCGAGGCCAGGCCGGGGAATATGAGTGTGTGACTCACAACGGCGTCAACTCGGTGCCTGACAGCCGCCGCGTGCTGGTCACAGTCAACTGTGAGCCCCCTTGGCACTGCTCATGAAAGGGGGGCAGGCCCTGGGTCCCTGGGGAGGAGCACGGGAAGTGCCTGGGAAGGAGGGAGGAGGGGCATGGGGACAGAACCCCTTAGACCTCACCTCGCTAGGAGAATTCACTGACTCTTGCCCCTGGCCAGATCCTCCAACCATCACGGATGTGACCAGTGCCCGCACGGCCCTGGGCCGGGCTGCCCTCCTACGCTGTGAAGCCATGGCCGTGCCCCCTGCGGACTTCCAGTGGTACAAGGATGACAGACTGTGAGGACAGCACCCTGGAGTGCGCTGCGGGCTGGGGGTGGGGGTGGGGGGAAGGTAGCCAAGCCCTAGATCCCGAGAACTGGGGATCCAGCTTCTAGGGGATGGGGTCCTCTGGGCCCCAGGGAGGTCTCGGGGAGCTTACTGAAACCTTGGGCCCCACGATATGAATTTGGAAACTTGTCTCTTCCGGCTGTTCAGGGAAGTTTGGGGGTCGATGCTCACGATATGGCGAGGAAGCTTCAGAGGACCATTGGGGTTGAGGTCCAGCAGGGTCTGGGAGAATGTAGAGATTGGGGGCACACACTGGGAGAGTCCAGTGACCCTGAGGGGTAGGGGTGCCTGGAGAGGGGTGCCTGTGCGAGTGGTCCGGGGACCCATGGGGAGCTAGAGCCCGAAGCTAGGGGTCTTTGAGGTAGGGGGCAGAATGAGGGGTTTCTGGGAAATCGGGGACGATGAGAGTCAGGGGGGTGGAGTGGGATCTGCACCCCGAGGGGGTCCCACGCCAGGGTCCCACGGCCCGATCCCTGACCCAGATCCCCGGCAGGCTGATCAGCGGTGCAGCCGAGGGCCTGAAGGTGCAGACGGAGCGCACCCGCTCGATGCTTCTCTTCGCCAACGTGAGCGCCCGGCATTACGGCAACTACACGTGTCGCGCCGCCAACCGGCTGGGAACGTCCAGCGCTTCCATGCGCCTCCTGCGTGCGTCCGATCGGGAGGGGCGGGGTCGGGCGGGGGGCGAGGCCGGGACTGCCCCCAGACTGACCGCGAACTTGGGAAAGTGACCCCAGCTGAGACCCAAGCAACGTGACTGAGAGACGCATCCCTTCAGTGGATGTCGATTCATTGAGGGCCCACTAGGGGGCGGAACTGAGACTCGAATGGTAAGAAGCAGCCAGCCCCGCGGAGATCTGCGGGAAGAGCTTTGCAGGCGGAGGGAAGGCTGTAGGTACGCAAAGGCACAGCAAGAAGGCTAGCGTGACCTGAGCAGAGTGATCACCGTGGAGCCTCAGGCTAAAGAGGGAAGGAGAGGCAAAGTCTCATGGGCCATGGAGAGTATTTTGGATTTTATTCTATTGCGGGGTGAGGCCCCTGGAGGCTGCTAAGCAAGGGACTGACCAAGGGGTTGACGGTTCTAGAGAGTCACTGACCTATGTTTGAGGAATAGCCTGTAGGGGGCGCAAGATGAAGGCCGAGGGACCAGGGAAGGGGCGACCGCGGTAACCCAGGCCAGGAGCGGTGGCGCAAAGTCGCTGTGGCGGGGAGATGTTTCGAAGGCAGAGGGAAGCAGGAAGTGGAGTCGAGGCAATCGCAGGGGTTGGCTCGAGTAGACGGGTGAAGGGGAACGTAGTAGTAAAGTATTGAAGTGGGGGCCGTAGCCAGTCTAGGGAGACAAGCCAAGGGTCCCGTGTCCGGCGCGCTGACTGCCAGATGCTTCGTAGCCGTACTGGATAGTATCCGTACTGGATGGACCTCCACGACGTGAAGATCTGAGAAAGACGGGGGCTGAGAGAGAGAGGGACTGAGCGGCAGAGAGAAGCCATGTTCGGCGAGATGCTGAGACTCAGATCAGAGTGGGAGAGCAGGCACACTGAGCAAAGGCCCCAAGAAAGCCCCTAGAGAGGGAGGCTCAAAGACACCCTCAGAGACAGGGCGGACACAGGGAACAGCGAGACACACACGGGGTCTCCCCTTCCCAGGCCACCCCCGTGACGCTCTCTCCTTCCCCAGGCCCAGGATCCCTGGAGAACTCAGCCCCGAGGCCCCCGGGGCCCCTGACCCTCCTCTCCGCCCTGGGCTGGCTGTGGTGGAGGATGTAGGAAGAACCCAATGCAGCTCGCCTCCCCCTGCACGGGGCCTGAGGCCGGGAGCGAGAGAGAAAGGGAGAGCAAGCGCCGTGGGTCTCGAGGGGGCGGAAGAGCTCTCTGCCACCGAGGAGGAAGAAGAGAGGAGGAGGAGGAGGAAGAGGAGGAAAGCTCTTTAGAGAACCCATCACTGTGAGGGATAACGCAAAATTATGCATCTTTCTACAGCCATTTTCGCCACCGTTCACGTTTCCGACTGTGACCCACCCCCGGCCACCCCACACCCCTCTCTTAGCTCAGGCTGTCAACCGGATCGTGTGTATGTAGTGGGTGTGTGTGAGCATGAGCCTGCACGCTTGTGTATGTGTGTGGGGGGGAGGGGCTCAGCAATCTTCCCTCCCCCAAAACCCCCACGCCCACTGCCCCCAATGCTGCTGCCTCTCACCTCTGGCTGGAGGTAGGTATGTGGGCTTCGTGGCAGAAGCTGTGAGGAGAGGATTTCCAGGCTCCCCGCGTCCCCAGTATATGCACGCACAGCGCCCCCTCCCCTCTCTGTTGAGAGAGTGTCTCCCCGGGCAGGTTGGGAGTGAGGAGGGGTGTAGCGCACTCGCCTGTCAAGCTTTCATTCAGCCTTTGTGAGCAGGTGGGAGAGCTCCGTCTTGGCTCTGGGCCTCCTTGCTGTCTACCATCAGCTGCCTGCAGCCCGAGCGAGGCCCCATCACTGGCTCAGCAGCCTGAGACCTTCCCACTCTCTCTGCCCCTCCTCCCCTCCCCCGACTTTCTGGCCCCATCTGGGCCAATCGGTGCTTCCATCCAACTGTCAGACTGGTGCCTGTGGTCACCTGTCTGTCTCAGTGCTTTGCCCTACCCCACCCCCAGCTCCCCTCAGCCCGCTGCAGCCACCCACAGGTGTGGGCTTGCTGGTCTACCGCCCCCGACCTCTCCACCAACTGTACCTCCCAAAGGCTGACCTGTCCGCCCTCACACACACTCCGATAGACACACACATACCAGCGACTGTGACCAGCAATAGCCCCCCGGCTCCAGCTGTCCTGCAGCTGGTGACCAGCTTGTAGTTCCCCTGAGAGTGGGCAACTTGTCAGGAGGAGGCGCTGAGAGGCTGTAACCTCAGCTCTGATGGGAGGAATATGCAGTATGCGCACCACTTACACAGAGTGGGGAAGAGAGAGGCATCACAGACATCCCCAGTCCAGATCAAGATGTCAAGTCACCAGCTCTGACTCCTGGGAGACCCCCTAGAAACACTCACCCCAAACCACACACCTAGAGCTTGGGGAGGAAGAGATCAGAGCAGGGGCGGGGGGAGGGGGGCAAGGGGCAGTGACTGTACCTCAGACGGGGGCGTGGGCCCCATCCCACATTGTCTTCCATCCCCAGGGTCCAGGGGGTTGGGGAGGGGTGGGGGAGGGGCACCAGGGAGGGGGCGGGGGGGCCCTGGGGGCCGTGTGTTCCGACTCATGGGGAGTGTTGAGACCACCACACCAATAAACGCCTTTTTCCAAAGTCTCTGCCTGCAAGTGTCAGGGTCATTAAGGATTTGGGTGAGTGGAGGACCAAGGGTCATTGGTGGTGCCTCCCCGGCATCATTTCTACCTTCTCTCTCTTTCAGTAGATTTGGAATTGACCCATTACACAATGATGTGAGATCTATCTAGATCTGCACCATTGCTTTTCCCTGTTACATGGAAGATCTTGGGTCTGTGGGAATAGCAGTGGTGGGGAAGGTAGTATGTATAGGCCGAGAATGGTAGAAACACTACAGAGTACAGAGACGAAGGTCTAAAGAAACTGAGTCCATGGTGACATCGTTTGAGTAGCTGGATCAAAGCTTACCTGATGCCCACCTTCATTTACATAAGCAGTACACTCCCCTGAAAGTATAAGCCAATTTATGTTAGGTTTCTTACCAGTGATTAAAAAGGAAATGAAAAGTCTAACTGATATAGAAAAGATATAGAGGACCCAGGTACCCAGTACCCCAGGCTTCACCTTTCCAAGAGCTCTATTTCCCTAAAGGCCTCTTTCATCCCAATCTTGAACCAGAATACCTCACTTTTATTCTTTTCTTTCCTGAGACAGACGCATTTTTTCCTCCTTTGCTAGCAGACCCACCTCCCATGATACAAGCTGAGATGTTTGGTTTCCCAGCCTCCCTTGCAGTGATGTGGCTAATTTGGGGTCAATAAGGCAAGTTTGCTAATGGGTTTCCAGGAAATTTCTTTCCTCACTCATGAGGTTGGTCGAAGGAAGGAGTGTGGGAAGGGAACCTTGCTCCCTTCCTTTTGTCTTCAGATACAGTTGCATGAAGAGGTGATGTCTGGAGCTCTAGCAGCCATATTGCCACATGAGACAATATGCCAACCCGGGTCGCTATGTTGCTGAGCCAGCCTGAAATCACCACTTATTTTGCCACCATTTATTTTGTTACTTGCAGCCAAGGGAATCTTCACTGATGCACTCCCTACATTTCCAATGAGAAACCCAGCTGAGAGAGAGAATGCATCACACTGGGGAGAACAGTGGTAAGCCCAGCCTTTGCTGGTGCCAAAACATTTGCTCAGTCAACCAGTGTTTATTGATTGCCTGCTGTGTGCCAGGCTCTGTGTTAAGTGCTGGGGATAATGACATGGTCTCTGCCTTCATGACATACTCAGTTGAAGGAGGGAGGCAGAATTCAGTACGTACAAAGTTATGTGAGAGAAGCCAGAGGTTCAGAGGTTGTGAGACTGAACCCATAACCAAGTCAGCCTCCTAAGCTGGTAATGGTTACATTTTTAGGATTTCTGGACCCAATTCCAATATTGGGGGGATTCCCCCCACACCAATTTTCATACACCAGCAGGTGTCTGAGAATTCACCTCCATTCTGACACCGTCTCTCCAAAGATAGCTTGAGATTCCAAAGGTGAAGGGTCCTTCCTACAAGACTGACACCCCCATTTCCCACTTCGGATTCCAGCTGCAAGCCCCAAACTGCTACCCAGGCTTCTGAGCGACTGCCTACAGCTGGAGGTTCCAAAGCCTTCTTCCTTGGATTTGATTAATTTCCTAGACTGGCTGCAGAACTCAGGGAAACACTTACTTACATTTACCAGTTTATTAAAGGATATGAATCAACAGCCAGATGAAGAGATACCCAGGGCAATCTCCCAAACAAAGGAGCTTCTGTCCTTGTGGAGCCTGGGGCCCGGCTCATGGCACAGGGGAGCATGCTGGTTCCCCCAGTGTGGAAGCTCTCCGGAAATGGACCCAAGAGCTGGCCTCTTGGGTTATAGGAAGGCTTCATTATATCGTTATGATTGACTAAGTCACTGGCCATTGGCTGATTCAACCTCCAATCCCTCCCCCTCCGGGAGGGGCGGGCAGGGAGGGGTATGAGAAAGTTCCAGTCCTCTAATCACAGGTTTGGTCCTCCAGGCAACCAGCTCCCCCTTTGGGTGGGGTCCAAAAGTCACCTTCGTTAATAACAAGCCACTCAATTCGCCTTTAGGGCTCTGAACCATTTTTCAAGAACTGGATTGAGCAAGACCAAAGATATCTGAGAAACATATTTTGGTCATCTGCATGAGCAAATATATATTTCCTATAAATCGTTGTAGGTCAGTTAGCATTGTCCTTGAGAAGTGAATAACCCGGGGCAAAGAGTGGGGTTCCAGGCAAAGCAAACCCTGGGGCAAAGCCCTGGAGGCAAAATAGAGCCGGGTGGACAGAAAGCCTGTTGTTAATTGAGTGGCAGGGGTGAAAGTACCGGAAGGGGAGGTCAGAGGTCGACAGAAGCCCAACCACAAGGCTCTGAAAATCACAGTGAGGAGTCGGGACAATATCTGAAGGGCAATGGGCACCCCCAGAAGGGTTTAAAGAGGAGAGGATGTGTTCTGAGCTATTTCAAGACGCAGACGCTGGCAGCTGAATGGGTATGGCCTGGAGGAGACCGGGGGACGTAGGAGGACCTTCTGAGAGAATGAGGCTGGGCGCCCCCTGGGGCTTGAAGCAGCACAGGACAAGCCTTGCCCGTCCACCAGCCTGTCCAGCACCAAGCCTGTAGGTCCTGCCTGGAGGCTGTGCAAACCACACAGGTAGATCGGCAACAGTCTCTCCCAGCCCGGAAGCCACAGCGCCTTAGCTGTGCAAATACAAGCAGAGTCTTCTGCCCTAAGAGAGAGACAGGAAGTCCCATGCCCAGAGCCAGTCTTCAGTCACAGCAGGACAGGAGGGCCCTGCCTGCTTTTGGGATGAAACAGGAGGTCCTACCAAAAAAAAAAAAAAAGAAAATCCTGCGCGGAGCGTGCCTTGGTCACACCTGCGTGGCTGCCCGAACAATCCTCGGGCCCCCACCCGGAGAGATGACTGGACTGAGACCAGCAGCCTGGAAGAGAAAGGAAGGGAGGAGGACAACCTCAGGTGTCACCCTGAATGTGACATGACTCACCTTTTTCGAGGGCTAGCTCACATCAGTCAGAGTTAGCCGGGTTCTCCTCATTTACAACAGGGAAAAAAGAAATGTCTGCCCACCCTTGGGACAGGAGACAACCCAGCTTTCACCGGGGAGAAGACATTCCATCCCACATCTGATAGAAGATGGAAGTTTTGCCAATTTTTATGGAAAAGAATAAAGGAGTTCTCCCTCCTTTGGCGGGAAATTGGAGTAAGAAATTGTAGTAAGAACTACAGCAAAAATGTGATGGGAATTCCTGTCCAATATTTATGTATTAAAAAGGGAGGGGGGTTATTTACCGACTTTGTAAACCAACAAGTAACGCTGAAGGAAGAAGACTCAGATCATCTCCTCTCCCTAAAACACAAAAAGTTCCAGCCCATTCCAGGACACTGGGGCACCGACACTCACTTGGTGGGCCCCGTTTGGGCTAGGGTCCTCCAGCGGGACTTTGAGGGGCAGAGGCTGTGAGGTCTGCACTGGGGTCACGCTCTGCATCTTTTTTTCCAGTGGGGGAACCACAGGGGTCAAGGAGGGCGGATGCTTCTTTTTCTTGAGAGAGTCTCCTAGAAAGAGGAGGAACGAGAAACAGAAGCACGTCATTGGCTGTTGCAACACACCCACCCAGCTAACGACCAGGGAAGCTCGGTGAGGGGCGGGGCCTCACTCTGATAGGCTGATATGGAGGTAGAAGGCGGGATGAATAGCCTGTGGCCGTGCTGACTGGTTCAGCTCTTTCTAGGGACCCTCTCCAGCGGGCCCTCACTTACCCCTGAGCCTGCACAGGCAGCATATGCACAGGTAGAGAAGTGCTGACAGGAGCGCCAGGCCCAGTAGGGAGCCCAGGACGATGCCAGCAATGGCCCCGGAGCCCAGGGTGGGACCTGGAAGAGACAGAGCGATGAAGGATAAGAGAGCAGGAGCTAGGGCTGGACCCAAGTTTCCTAAGTCCCCTGCTCCAACTCTTTCGGAACCCAATTCCTGGGACCCCAGACTCTCAATTCTTTCAGCATTTACTAAGTAAGCGGTGCGCCTGGCATTCTACCAGATGGTAACAGTCCACCGGTGAGCAAACCCAGACACCTACTCTCATGGGGATTAAGTTTTAGGGAAATCAGAAATGAACGCACCAATGAATAACAATTACAGGTTGTACTAAGAAAAAAAATAAATGTGCTATGACAGAAATAAGACGCTATCACAGAAATAGAGTCAATCTGCTGCGAAGACTCTGTTTCCAAATGAGGCCACATTCACAGGTACCGAGGGTTAAGATGTCAATATATCTTTGGGGGGAGACACAATACAGCCAATCAAGTCAAGAAGAGATCATCAGGATGAGCCCTAATCCGAGACGACTAGAGCCCTCACAAGAAGAAGACAGAGACACACACAGGGAGGAGGAGGCTGTGGGAAGCTGGAGGCAGAGACCAAGCAATGCAGCTACACTCAAGGAAGGCCAAGAATGGACGGCCACCCTCAGAAGCTGGGAGAGACCCGCAAAGACTCTGCCCCAAGTCTCAGAGGGTGCACAGCCCCGATTTCCCTGAGACGGAGCACTGACCCCTTGATTTCTGACTTCTGGCTTCCAGAGCTGGGAGAGACTACATTGCTGTGTGTTCAAGCCACGCGGGTTATGGTCCGTTGTGACCGTAGCCCCCGAAAAAGGATAGAGACAGATAAGCAGGATACAAGGAAACAGACTGAAGGGAGGCAGCCCAGGAAAAGGCTCCAACAGCCCCAACTCACTGGCCTGGTAGACTCGACTTTGTGATGGGGTCCCTGGCTGGCCCCCCAGGGTGGGGAGGATACGGAAGGTCCAGGTCCCAGGGTTCCGGCGAGGAAGAGGCACCACGGCTGACCGCTCCTGAGGCCCCAGGAAGAGCAGGGAGATCCAGTCCTTGTACGTAGTGGCTCTACCCAGGTCGGGGCCCTCTTGTCGTGCCTGGATCTCAAAACCACTGATCAGGGCCCCACGTTCCACATCCCAGGTCAGCACTGCCGCATCCTGGGCTCTCTGCAGCCTCCATGAGGAGATGGAAGGTCCTGGGGAGGATTAAGGTGGGGGCTGAATTTATGGGTCCTAGAGGGGAGAGGGAAGGGGGCTGCAGACCTGGGCTCATAGGTCCTGGGGGCAGAGGTTCTGGGGAGCCTTCTAGGCCTACAAGAGGAAGGGACTGAGGGCTTGAACTCTTGGATCTGAAGGAGAAGGAGCTGGGGACTAGATCTGAGGTTGGAGAGGGCTGGAGGACTTCTGGGTTCTGGGAAAGGAATGCACTCACCAATGAGAGTAATCTGGTTGCCCCCAGCACCCAGCGCCCCGCTGCACAACACGGAGTAATTTCCCAGGTCCCAGTCCAAACTGAAGTTGCTAATGAGGAGCCTGTGCCCATCTTGGCTGAGCCGGAGGCGACCCCCACCTCCAGGGGCCACGGGCCGCCCTTCCCGGGTCCAAGATGCTCTGGATGGTGGAGGGCAGCCAGTGGCCTCGAGCGCCACCTCCGCCTCCCCGTACGGTGTTTCCTCCACTGTGGGACGCAGCAGCACCTCCCGAGGGGCCTCTGCAGGTAGAAGAAACCCCGCCAAGTCAAGACGTCATCCTGGAGTCCAAGCCCCGCCCTTTGGGGAAGGAAACCGCTGTGAAACTTTAGCCAAACAAGGAAGCACTGCTCATTCACTCACTCTCGTTCAGTCATCATCGGATGTCCTTAATAACGCCTTATGAGATACATGCTATGAACCAGGTTCTGGACTGGGGAATTCATATTGTTCTCGAGCCTTTATTGCTCGGGACACGTAGGAAGGTGTCAGCCCTCTTCCTGGGTCCAGGAAAGAAACTGTGGCCCTTTTCCCTGCTTGCAGTATAGGGACGACCTTGGTCCTTCTGTAGGGTTTAAGACAAAGGAAATCTCTTTTCCCGGAGTTAGAAGTCTGCCTTTCTCATTTCCTAAAGGAGCTAAGAAATACGCCCCTCCTCGGGAAACAGGAAAGAAGTCCCACCGGCTCTCACCCGGGGTGACAGTGCAGGTGCGTGTGGTCACCAGGTGACGAGCGAGGCAGGTGACGCGGACACCGCTGAGCCGGGGGTGGGCGGGGACAGCCGCCAGGAGCGCGGAGGGCACCGGCCCCGCGCGGACGCCTTCAGGGAGACCCTGGAACTGCAGGGAGGCGGCGGGGACCCCGCCGGGCCACGAGCAGCGGAAGCGGAGGCTGCGGTCCCCCGGACCGCCTTCGACTGAGCACTGTGGGGACCCGGGAGGCAGGTCTGTGGAGCGGAGGGAGAGATCAAGGGGCCAGCCTCTTCCCCTCCACCCCTCCAACCCGCCTCTCCGCGCGTTCGCGCCGATTGCATTTGGCACCTGCCGGTAGGCGCCATCCGCGCCCCATTCTCTTGCCACCCAGCTCCCTTTCCCAAAACGTCCGGGCTGAGCGGGCAGCAGCAGCCCCACCGACGGCCTCCCTTTCCCGAGAAGACTACATCTCGGCACTGATTTCTTTCCTCGCAAACATAACCCCTCCCACCGAGTTACTCTGGGCCTTCAGCCAAACGTCTGTGCCCTCCTGTTGTGCCCCGTCCCTCATCTAGGACAATCCGCTCAGTTCTAGAACGACCCCGCCCCTCTTGTGACTCCGCCCCCTTCCTAGGTAATTCCTTTATTTGCTGATCCCACCTACGGGCCGCGCTCACCCGCCACGGTGAGGTTGAGCAGGGAACGGCGGCGGTGGCCGGTGCGCGGGTTCGAGGCGAGGCAGGCATAGGTGCCGGCGTGGCCCGGCCCGACCGCCGGCAGCAGGAGACGCGGGCCCGAGGGCACCGCGGCCTCGGCCGGGTCGGCCAGGCTCCAGGTGATGTCGGCGGGCGGCCGCGAGGTGGCGGTGCAGCGCAGGGTCACGTTGCTGCCCGCGGTGACATACAGGGCGGGGGCGGCGTCGCGATCCGAGGACACGTTGATGACCGGCGCATCCGGGCCGTCTGGATGAAGGGATCCGGACGGGGAGAGTCAGGGTCACCCGGGACACCGCCATGAGCCTGGGGCGCTCCAGGGGACCTCCGGGGACCTCCAATCCCCCCTCCGCCTCGGACTCAGGAGGATGAGCTCCCGGATCCCGGCCCCCGACCCGAGGCACACCCCCACTCACAGAAGACACTGACGTCGGCCGCAGCCTCCGTGTGGCCGAAGGGGCTGAGGACGCGACAAGTGTACCGGGCCTGGTCGCCGCGCACAGGGCGCTTGATGAGCAGCTGGTCGCCCTCTGTGCGGATCCGGGGTGGCTCTGCTCCCTCAGGGTCCGTTGCCTCCAGGGTGCGTCCGTCCCGGCTCCAGCTCAGCTCCCCACGACCCGGCCCCCACCCTAGGCAGCGCAGCCGCAGCTCGGCCGCCCCCTCCTCTGTCTCAGGGGTCTCGGGCTGCACCGACAGCTGGGGCAGCGGCTCTGGGAGAGGGAGATGGGTTCAGGACCCGGTCCCTGGCCCCCTCTTGCTGTATAGTCAGGACTCCAGGCCCCAGCCTTCTCCACTCCTCCCACCCAGGACGTCGGGGCCCAGCCCCAGGAGTCCTCCTCCTCACAGACCCATAAGTCTAAGTCCCCCACTCTCTCCTCTTAGAGACTCAGGATTCCGAGTCTCCAGGGGTCTTGATCCCCAGGTCCAATTTCCCTTAAGAACCTCTGTCTTGACCCCCAGCCCCTCTTATTCCTCCTCCCTCCAACTCAGAAGTCCTCTCTTCCCGTCGAGGGACCCCTACCTCAGGGGAGAAAACATGATCAGACAGCAGCCACCTTCCCAAAGGGCCTGCATTCTGGACCTCTGTGCCCACTTACCATACACACCCACGGTGAACTCCCGAATCTGCCGGGAGACCCCAGCCCGGATAACCTCAGCAGTGTACACCCCAGCATCCTCTAGCTGGGCGGAGGCAAGTTCCAGGCTCCCCTGGGCCTGGTCAAATCGTAAGCGGTCTCGGTGAGCAGGGTCCAAGCTGATCAGGGGGGCCCCTGGCCCCAGGCCTCCGGCTGCCAGCACCTTGGAGCCTCGACGCCAGACAACCAGAGGAGCAGGAGGGCCGGGGCTGGGAATCGGAACTAGAGGGAGCTGGATGGCGGTCCCCACTAGCACCGAGAGAGGCCTCCCCACTTGCTGGGGGAGGCTTTCCACGGGGTGGGCTACTGCAGTTACTTTGGATTCAGGGTTCTGGGCAGAGATTTCAAGATCTTGACCCTCAGGGGAGGATTCTGAACCTGGGGTCTCAATGGATGCTTCAGGGTCTGGGCCTTGGGCTGAAATGTTCGAAGTTGGGGTCTTAACAGAGGAGGGCTCTGAGTCTTTGGCAGGAACTTGAGAACCCAAGACAGAAAATACTTCAGAACCCGGGATTTCAGAGAAGGCAGGATCCAGGCTCAACTTTTGGCCCTCAGCAGAAACATCTGACCAGATGGACAGAGGCACATCACTCAAATTCGAGGCCTCAGGAAACCATTTGGAATAAGGGACGGCAGCAGTGGTTTTTGGACCTGGAGACTGATCTGGAAATTTCCATCTGGGGGGTTGGATGGAGACTTTTGAACCTGGGCTCTGGGAAGAGCTTTCTGAGTCCAGGGAGAAACTGGGTTGCTGAACTCCAGAAGAGGCTTGGGGGTTGAGGACCCCTCCTCCGGAGGCTGCAAGGACAGAAGGAGAGGCCGTTGGGGGTCTGCTGAGCAGGCGAACCGGTGGGGAAGGGGCTGAGCAGGGGACTTACCCAGGAGCAGGAAGAGCAGCAGAGCCCGTGAGGTGTCCATGGTGCTGGCCGCACCCGTGAGGACACTGCAGCGAGACTCCGGGGCCTGCACCTGTGCCTCCCTGGTCGACGAGTCCGACAGGACTGGTAGCTTCCTGGGCGGGGAAGGAAGCCAGACCCAGTGGGAGGTGCCAGGATCCCCCACCCTCAATCTAGGGGCAGAGCCAGCCACCCTGCCCCACTGGTCCTCATCAGCTGGTCCCATCTGACCCAGGCACTCCCCACCCCTGCGTGAAGACAGGGAGAGCTGGGTCTCCCAGCGGAAACGTGGTAGAAAACTCACGGGGAAGAGAAGCCAGGAAGACCTCTTGGAGGAGGGCAAGGTGACCCTTCAGAGAGCGCCACCTCTGATGGCCTTGGCCTCAGTTCGCGCTTCCTCTCACCAGACTGTGGACCTGAGCCCACTTTGGCCTGCCTGCGGCCTCAGATACGTGCATCCGACCCTCTTCCTACTCTGCTCCAACTCCTCCCACAGCTCCCTGCTGCCCTCTGAACAAGTCTCCACAGGCCGTCCCCCACCCTCTCCCAAGACCCAGATTGCATTTCCCTGCCCCCTCAAATGCCCTGTGTTCCACCGAACTCAGCATCTTCCCCCAACACAACCCCTGTCCTGGGTTCTCCATCTCAAGTGTGGTTCCACATCTATGCAGAGGCTGGGAGCCCTCTTCCCTTCTCTCCCCTCCTGCTCTGCCCCTTCCTCTCCATTCCCACTGGCCAGACCCATCCTCTCTCCCAGCCTCCTCCCTCCAGCCTCCACCACTTCGTGGATCCACACTTGATCCCTTTCTACCCCTACCCCTCCTGTGTGTGGCTCCCCTGAGCCCTCAGGAGATATCCAAGGTCCCTTCCAGACCCAGAGTGGCCCAGACCTACCCACTTCGGTCACACCCTCCACCCTCTTACTCTTTGAACATCCGGCCATTCCTATGCCCCATCTCTCCCCTCCCAGATTTGCAGGCAGTCTCTCCTCTGCCTGGAATGTTCTGCTCACTCCCTCCACCACCCCCTCCCCCAACTTGTCCAGCAGCCTCACCTAATTAAGAATCATAATAATAATTACCACTTTTCCTGCGCCAAGAACCATGTGACATGCTTCCCAGGCATTATCTGCCAGAACACTTCCAAATGCCCTATGAGCTGGGGTGTCATTATCCTCATTTTATAGGCCAGGGGACTATGGCTCAGAGAGGTCCAGAGACCTGAAGAAGGTTGCACAGCCAGAGGGTGGAGCTGGGCTTTGGCTCAAGGCAGTCAGATGCTCACTCCCTTCAGAAAGCTCCGACCACGCCGGACTGGGCTCAGGGCCTCTGCTTAGCTCACAGTCAGTCTTCTGAGCTTCTCAGCGAGTTCTCACCATGCTGATGGCAACAACAATGTCATCATAGAGTGAGCACCTTCCTTGTGTCAAGTGTGGTTCTGGGGGAGCTGCACTAATGGGCTAAGTTTTATAGCTTAGAGATGCCTGCATCTTTAAGGAGGGGTCTATGTCCCCTCCCCTCGGATCCAGCTGGCTTCTGACTACCAGGCCAAGAGAGCACAGCAGAAGGGAGCCCATGCCAGGGTCTGCATCTCGGCCCACAGACTGGCATTTTCCACTTCACGTGTGATGGAACGCTCCCTCTTGGAACCCAGCCACCAGGTTGTGAACAAAGCTCCTGCAGCGCCCCACCCCCACCGCCCCAGAGGAGTCGTGGTCTCTGGCCAACAGCCAGCTCAAGCCAACAACCCCGGCCGGCTTGCAGGCCACAAAACTGAGTCATCTTGGATGTGGACCCTCTGGCCCTACTTGAGACCCCAACTGAGGCCGCCTGGAGAGGTGAGCTGTCCTGCCAAGCCCTGCCCGAATTTCAGATTTATGGGCAAAATAAGTGATCACTGGCTTAAGACTGAGTTTTGGCGTGGTTCGTTATGCCATGCCAGACAACCAGAACACAGGTGTTATTACTAACTGCCCCAAGGGAGGAGGGAATCCGGGCTCAGGGAGTGGGAACCTGCCAGAGTCCTCCCAGAGCCAGGGAGTGGCCTGGCTAGGGCCTCGAGAGCAAGACCCCGAGCCTTTAACCACTGCACTAAGCCCTTCCTATTCTGATCAGCCAGATGGGAAACCAAAGCTCAGACAGGGGATGTCACTCACTCGAGACCCCCCCCAGCCGGTAACTGCGAGTGAGGCTCTCAGATCTCCGAGTTAGACTCCAGGCCCCAGCTCTCCATCACCACACGAGGTTTTCATCGTTGTCAGTCTCCCCAGCCAGACCCTGAGCTTCCAGCTTCATTCCCTCTTGTACCCGGAGTCTCAGTAGGGGCCTGGCACCTGGGAGCCCCAGCAAACACTCTGTAGATGAAAGTCCTTCTCCCCACCTCACGGAAAGGCGTCCTTCAGGACTCAGCAGCGATGCCCTCTCTCTGGGAAAGCTCTCTGCCCCACGTACCAGCTCAGGTGCCGCAGGCGGGCTCCCAAGCACGTGGTGTCACCTGAGCTCGGAGCGTACAGCACCTGGCATACAGTTGCCTCTGTCCGTGTCCATCCCCCCACCCCGGCCCCCTTCAGCATGGAGCTTCGCAGGGACTGGATGTGACTCACCTGGGTCACCGGCGTCACCCAGTACAGGGCCTGGCACGCAGGAGATTTAAGCAAATGTTTGTTGACTGAACCAAAGACCAGGTCTCCAGGGAATGAGTTAAACAGAGACAGTCGTCGGGAGGGTCATAGTTTTATTGCTGAGTTTCAGGGAAGGGGCTCAAATCCGCCCAGTCTCCCTCAGCTTGGCCACCAGGTCCTCCGTGGTCTCTACCTTGACGCCGGCCGTCCGCTGGGGCGGGTCCTCCACGCTAACCACAGAGAGCTTGGACGTCAGGTCCACACCCAGGTCTCCGGCCTTGATCACCTCGATCTTCTTCTTCTTGGCTTTCTGCACACGGGCAGCCGCTGTTCACCGGGCTGCTGGAGCGCCTGCGGCCCCTCCGGCAGCCTCCTCCCCGTGACTGCCACGTCTGCAGAACCAATCCCACTGCCCGAACTTGTTTGGACCCACCCACCAACCAGGACAACTGAGACCTCTTCCCGGGCCCGGTAGAGATCATGTCTGTAGGCGGGGACGGCCCGGGAAGCCCTTCTATTGAGGGTCCTCTTTTAGTCAGCTGCCTTGGGAGGCCCTTCACGGGCTGAAATGGACTGGCAACGTCAACCTTCTGGCAGTAAAGACTCGATGGACTTTGGGCCAAGCAGACCCACTGAACGCTCCCCATTGGCGGAGCTAACTCACAGAGCCCACCCTACTGGATGAGATGACCCACCGTGCCCTCCTATTGGCTGGGATGACATGCTAAGCTCTCACTATTGGCTAGGATGACCCAATGAACCCATCCTACTGGCCATCATGGACAGTGAACTCTCCTTTTAGCCAGATGAGCGGTTCCTTCGGATCAGAAGTCCCTTGGATCCCCTCTCCCCGCGTGTGAGCACCAGGGAGGCACTGGGCCTGCAATGCACTCACCCACTCCCGGGCCCTCAGGGGCCCGTGCACCAAGCACTCACCATGATGTTGGGCAACGTGGCGTAGCGGGGTTCATTGAGCCGCAGGTCAGCGGTCACCACGGCAGGCAGCTTCAGCCGCAGGGTCTCCAGGCCCCCGTCGATCTCCCGCTCCACTTTCAGCTTGTCCCCTTCCAGTGTCACCTGGGAGGCGAAAGTGCCCTGGGGAGAGGAGGGTGGGGGCGAGGTTAACTCAAGACAGGCACAGAGCAGTGGGAGTACATGCACGGATGAGGGAATGAATGAGAGAACAGGAGAGAGTCCCACAAGGTAACCTATAGACACAAGTTCATAAACAGGACGAAGCCACAGAAAGGGATCTCAAAAATCTAGGGCGAGTATCTGTAATTTCACTGGGAACCAAGGTGCGGGTCCTAATGACCTGAACCTGCCAGTTAGGTTCCTGCCTATTGTCAACCTACCTTAATAATGAACATGTATGCAGGGGAAGGGCGCTGTTCTAAACAGCCATCAGGCCCTCATGGGAACACTGTAAGGTCAATGCTATTGTCCCCACTTGACAGATGAGGAAAACTGAAGCAGAGAAAGGCTCCAAAATGTGCTGTCACCCACCAGCAGTCAAGCCAAGAACTGGCTCCATGCCCTGCTCCCGGTACCCACCATTCTGTCCCCTGGGGCTCCCTTCCAGGCCCCTCGGCTAGGCTGACCCTGGAAACACCTGCCGGGACCCGGTCTTCTTCGCTCGGTGCCCAAGCTCTGGCCGAGCCCCTTGGTCCCCCAGTCCTGTATCAACACTGGCTGATAGACCTGCACCCTCTTTGTCCAACCAACCTGTTCTCTCCACTCACTCACTCACTGGACAGACCTTTTAAGTCTTAGCTGGAATGTTCCACCACTCCCAGTCTCATCCGAGGGCCCCACGAACCAGCCTTCGGATACACTGTGAAAACGACCAAAAAGGCCCAGGCTTTCGTGCGCATTTTTTCTGGCCGGGAAGGCCGCCAGAAACCAAATACATACCCGGCAGCCACAGGACTAGAGTGTCTTCTGAATGTAGGAAATGTGGCTAGTAGTGCAATTGTGGGATGGGATTTTTCATCTTAATTAATTAATTTTAATTTAAAGACCGAGAGGCACCTCGTGGCTCAGTCAGTTAAGCACCTGACTCCTGATTTCAGCTCAGGTCATGGTCTCCAGGTCATAAGAGTGAGCTCAGCGGGGAGTCTGCTTCCTTCCTTCTGCCCCTACCCCCATTCTCTCTGTCTCTCAAATAAGTAAATACATCTTTTTAATAAATAAATATATTTAAAGATCTGTAAGCCAAATATATTATCCTGATCGTGATGATGGCTTTATGGGTGTGTATGTGTGTCCAAGCTTACCAAACTGTCACTTTAAATATGTGCAGTTTATCATTAAGTCACTTAATCTCAATGAAGTTGCTATTAAAAAAAAAAAGATATTTGATGCAGTTCCCGAAAACTTGTAAGTCTGTTTGGAACAACCTGGGGTATGTGAGCCTACTTTTTCAACTGTGAGTTTTGGGAATTTAAACTAAGTATTTCTGATAGAAATTCAGCATCTGAACTGAGATGTGCTGTAGATGTATAATTCACAATG